TTTTGGATCATCAGTTTTGGTCATTTAGAAAATACTGGCCTCACTGAATTATGTGTATTCATATATTTTAAATATATTGCCTATCAGACTGGACTGCTATGCTTTTTAAAAACAGAGTTATTGAGAGATAATTCACATATAACACAATCCACCCCTTTAAAGTGTACAATTCAATTGTTTTTAGTATAGCCACAGGGCTGTGCAGGCATCACCATGCCTCATTCCTTCTGTCGTGTGTATTAAAGATCTCATTCACTCATAACGATACCAATCTCAGCAGGAGAGCTTGCGGCACCCAGAAGCTGAAACTTGCACTGGTGGATACAACTCTTCCAAAATTCAAAATTTTGCCTGAAAGCTCAAATTTTATCTTTGGCAACAAACACTGTCAATTATTTTCCTTAAAGTGACATTCTTATTTTATTTTGTGAGAAAATGCTCCCTAAATATCCAAGTCTGAATAACCTGTTTGTCAGTCAATCTTCAAGTAAAAATGGTGTTCTGTGAAAAAAGTGGCTACACTATTAGCTTGGTTTTGCTATCAGTGTTTTCACTATGAGAAAAATGCCAATGCCTGAAAAACAGATTAGTCAATTGAAAAAAAAAACACAAACAGATGGCTGACTATATTTTAAAAATGAGTGAAATTAAGAGATAATGGAGTTTATGTAATTCAGGCCTGAGAATTTAGATGCCAGGAGTTTTCCTTCCTGAGTAATTCTCCTTTACATCCTCATCTCCCTGAACCTAAGTTTTTGAAATCTGGAAAATAAAAGTCAGGCTAGAGGATCTATAAGGTTCCGTTAATTTCTAGGACTACAGTCTGTGATGTATAAAAATACACAGCACACATGAAAAGATGCTGAACATCATTAGCCAAGAGGGAAACGTAAATCAAAACCACAGTGAGATCCTACCTCACACCTACTAGGATGGCTACCATCAAAAAGACAGATAGTAACAAGTCCTGAAAATGTGGAGAAACTGGAACCCTTATACCCTGCTGGTGGGAATAAATGGTGCAGCCACTTTGGAAAACAGTCTGGCAGCTCTCCAAAACGCTAAACACATAGTGTTAACACAGTCACCAGCAATTCCACTCCTAGGTAAACACTCAAGAGAAATGAAAACATATATGCACAAAAAGCTTGTACATGAATGGTCACAGTAGCATTATTCATAACTGCTAAGTAGCAGAAATAACCCAAATGTCCATCCATGGATGAATAGATAAATAAAACGTGGTATATATTCATATAATGGAACATTATTGATTTATTATTTTTAAAATTTATTTATTTATTTATGGCTGTGTTGGGTCTTCGTTGCTGCGCGCAGGCTTTCTCTAGTTGTGGCGAGCGGGGGCTTCTCTTGTTGTGGAGCACGGGGTCTAGGCGCGCGGGCTGCAGCAGTTGTGGCGCACGGGCTTAGTTGCTCTGTGGCATGTGGGATCTTCCCGGACCAGGGATCGAACCCATGTCCCCTGCACTGGCAGGCAGATTCTTAACCACTGTGCCACCAGGGAAGTCCCTGGAATATTATTTATCAATAATAAGAAGTTCTGACACACGCTACAACATGGATGAAACTTGAAAACATTACGCTAAATGAAAGAAGGCCACATAGTGTATAATGCCATTTCTAAGAAAGATCCAGGTTAGGCAAATCTATAGAGACATAAAGTAGATGAGTAGTTACCAGGGGTGGGGAGTGGGGAGTGAGGGAGGAATGGCAGTAACGGTTAATGGGTATGGGACTTCTTTCACGGGGATGAAAATGTTACAAAATTAGATGTGATGACGCCTGCACAGTCCTGTGAATACACTAAAAACAACTGACTTGTACATTTTAAAGGGGTGGATTGTATATGTGAATTACCTCTCAACAACTCTGTTAAAAAACATACAGCAGCCCAGTCTAATAGGCAACATATTTAAAAGAAGTAAGCATAAGAAGTATAACATCTATAGAGCTTTGGATTCTTCACAGTAAGTGAGCATTAATGTCTTTAAAAATACTACGACAGGGACTTTCCTGGTGGTCGAGTGGTTAAGACTCCACGTTTCCACTGCAGGGGGCACGGGTTCGATCCCTGGCTGGGGAGCTAAGATCCTGCGTGCCGCATGACGCGGCTGAAAAAACCAAAACAAAACGAAACAAAAAACAACTATGACAAAACAAAAATACACACACACACACACACACACACACACACACACACACACACCAGGCAATCCTTCAAGCAAGTTGGCTGAGTGCCACTTCACTGGTAAGCACACCAGGGGCGTCCAAAGGGAACTACAAAGGGGCCCCCATTTTTTCTACCTGCCCTGTTGGGTCCAGGCACTGCTGGGGGTGGAGGCCTTCTGTTGGCTGCTTGAAATCTGCACCCACTCGCTACTTCTGAGAGGGTTAGAAACCACTGCCAGGCACCATCCCCACCACACGCCGCATTCTTCATTATGTATCTGTCATCAATGCCTTCTGTCTTTATAGAAAACGAAACAACAACAGCAAACAAAACACAAATCCTCTCTGCCCCACACCGTTCATTCAAACTCGAGGTAAGGGAACGGCTGTGCTCTCTCCTGCCCTCAGCTCCAGTCAGAGGACAGAACGGACTGTCTGTCCCCTGTTCTCGCAAGTGACGCGGAAAAGCGCCTCTCGCGCACATATCTTCGTGGGACAGTGTAACTCATCTTGTACCAGATTCCTCTCCGCACCTTCCTCCCGCCTCGTGGGCAGTCCTGCAACTCTACCTACTTCCCCCGTTTCACCTTCCTTCACTGCCTTACCTTAACCTAAAATGACACATTACTGGTCAGAGCCTTGGGAGGGCAGAAGCCTTGGTCACCACTCGACTTCCTCATCTGAAAAAGTGCTCAGTGGATGCTCGGGAAGTGTCTGCTACGTGCTTTAGGGGCAAAATAAAGTGGCCAATACTCTGAAGATGGCTTGAATTTCCGGGTGGGGAACAAAGCTAAGACGGCAGGAGGAGAACCTGGCTATTAGGACGTGGTTTTAACAGGGAGACGAGAAGTAATGATTACGTCATCTAAAAAAAGTCTCAAGGGCTTCCGGTCTCCTAGGTGGTTCTGGGTAATGCGCACCGCCTCTGTGAAACACACGGGAGAGACTGATTCAAGCAGGCAGGCCCGACGTGGTGCAAGGGCAGGCCTCTGACCCCAACCCGCCAAGCCTCGCCTCACTGGGCTCCGCAGACTCCTCCCTCCAGGCTTAAGAGTGGGACTCAGGGACTGCAGGCAGCCGAGGCTCTGTCGAAACTGAAAAACCTTGCATACGTGTCATTTCATATAGAATAAACTTACGTGTTTATAAATTTAATAGATGACATATTAGTACATGTAATTCAAAAAGAGAATGAATTTAATATATAATAAAGCAGCATTTAAAATCGATGGAGAAAATGGAATGTTCAACACACAATGTAGGGACTAATGATTTTTCAATCATTTTATAAGACAAAGTTATATCCCTACCCTGAGCCATTAAAAAAAAAAGTTCCGGGCTTCCCTGGTGGCGCAGTGCTTGAGAGTCCGCCTGCCGATGCAGGAGACGCGGGTTCGTGCCCCGTGTCGGGAAGATCCCACATGCCGCGGAGCGGCTGGGCCCGTGAGCCATGGCCGCTGAGCCTGCGCGTCCGGAGCCTGTGCTCCGCAAATGGGAGAGGCCACAACAGTGAGAGGCCCGCATAACGCAAGAAAAAAAAAAAAAAAAAAAAAAAAAGTTCCAGGAGGATTACAAAATGTACTGTGAAAAACAGAATTATGAGAGTGTTAGGAGAAAGTATTAGAGATTTCTCTTTGTGATTCTGGGGTTTGGGAGGCCTTCCAGAGTAATTGAGAGTTGAAACCGAGAGGGAAAAAAAGACATTCTGCAATTTTCCTTAGTCTGAATGGGTGAGGTTTTTGAGGATTTACTGCTCAGTATATGCTTGTGACGGTTCTTCTGGTGGGAGTCTGGTGGAGGAACCCAAACGGCTCTCACAGTCCTAGGCTGACTACATGCTGGTAAATTCTGAACTGTAAGAGTTAACAGTAATAAATTAATCAGGTTGATCTCAACTTTGGATACAACAGATTGTGAATGCAAAAAGAACACGACTTCCTTTTTCCAAAGCAAACATACTAACGTAAGAAAGAAACGTATTTTAGGTCAACGAGACTAGTCAATTTTGAAATATATAGCTTTGGGGAAAAGATCAGAAACTTAAGGAGTTCAATGGAAATCAGCATTTAAAATTTTATGTTAAGCCACGAGGATTCCCTAGTAACTGAGGAGTACTATTTCAAAAGCAGACAAAACACCAACAATTCAAAAAAACTCAAGAGAAAACTGGAGTTCAGTGTCAAACCTAAGAGTTTTAGCAATGGTATCACATGAAATGTTTCCAGACGGTAGTGACTGAGGTCACAATGGGACCTGCAAAGGACCTGGGAACAGGAGACTGAGATTTTGGGGCTGAATGAAACCAACGATGAACTAACTGCAGGATGACAAGAGCTGGGTGCATCTCAGCCCATCAGGGTGGACTGTCCTGACACCAGCTTGGTCCCACCACTGTCTTAACTCCTCCCCATCATTAGAATTTTCCTGTACATGTATGGACAACATGCTTACTTCTAAATTATATATGGGCACTATTACATTAATGTTATATATCTTAAAAAAAAATTTAAAGAGGGTAAGGCAGTAAGTACAAATGAAAGTTCTAACATTTCTACCCCACAGGGTAGTTGTGAGGATTAAATGAGTTAACACATGTAGGGCACTTTTGTCCCTAGAAGGTCCCTCACTGTAATCCGGGACATATTACAAAGATTTTCATTCTTCGAGGTACAAGTACAAATTTTTGAACAGCAGGATTTTTTCGTGGCAAGTGTCATGTTAGGCTCAGATGTCTTAGCACAGTCTACGAATATCAGAGTCCTGTTTGTAACCCAGGTTTGGGACACGCTGGTTAAACCGTAATCACTTACCATATGGACTACTTCTGGGTAAATAGGCTCTGTGATCACATTCCGATTATGGGTGATATATTCTACCATTTCACTTAAAGCAGCTCGTTTTACTTCCTTCCACTTTAGGTCACTTAGTGGATCGGAAACAAAGTCAAAGAGGACACAACACTGACGTAACTTCTGGATAAAAAGCTTCTCTTGATCAGCAGGAGGAACATCTGAAAAGGAGAAAGCAAAGTATATTGACTGCAAAAATGCTTAATCCAGAATTACTGTGAAATACTTTTAAGCTTTCTACTATTTTTATTTCGAATTGATAGAGATTCAAGAAACAAGAGATGGGGCTTCCCTGGTGGCGCAGTGGTTGAGGGTCCGCCTGCCGATGCAGGGGACACGGGATCGTGTCCCGGTCCGGGAAGATCCCACATGCCGCGGAGCGGCTGGGCCCGTGAGCCATGGCCGCTGAGCCTGCGCGTCCAGAGTCTGTGCTCCGCAACGGGAGAGGCCACAACAGTGAGAGGCCTGCGTACGGCCAAAAAAAAAAAAAAAGAGACAAGAGATGGGGTAGGGGTGAATCGAGGTTAAACATTCCTTAAAGAAAATGAAAGGAAAAAAAAACAGCTAGTCACTGCTCAGATCATATGCTTCGTATGATAAAGTTTCTATACTTTTTAACTCTCTGAAGCCACATTCAGAGTGACTGTTCAAAATAAATTCCTTCTAAATACATTCATTCAACAAACATAACCTAGCACCAATGATCACATGCTGGCACTGTGCTGGGCAGTGGAACAAGAGGCAAAAACCACAGCCCCGGTGTGGGCTGTGGGGGGCATGGACACCCACACTGCATGACAGCTGCACACAATAGGTACAGGCAAGGTAAGAAAAGGTCACAGGAAGGATGCTCCCTCAGGTCTGCTGTTGCTCTAAACTTACAGGGGAAGGGCACGGTGGCTGTCCATCGGCCAGCTGGCAAACAGCAAGCGGCATCAGTGTGGAGCTTGCCCAAATGAGCTGTCACACACACGCTGTGAGGGTCTCCACCCTGGTGCCCCACACAAAGCACATCTCCTCCTCAATGTGGGCTACGGTCAATGCACATTACACATGATGTCAACAATGTAGAAAGAGCGCACATGATAATATTACTGAGGGAGTGCTTACCAGGGCCAGGTGCCATATGAAAAGCTTTATACATATTTACAAAACGTAATCTTTGCAATGACATAACAGACACGAGATACAGGCATAGAGAGTCAGTGCAGGGTTGGAAAGTGATGGACCTCTGTGTGACTTTCTAGAATTCTGGGAGGTCTGGAAAACTCCAATCTGCCAGTGTGAGCTTGACAGCTTTTTTCGGTGAAAATGAGATCAGTGGTGATATTAACGAATAGGGTTTATAGACAAATTGACTGAAATGTGTCCAAGATCTGCAAAATGGCTCCGAAGATCTGCATGACTCAATGAACAAGTATTTTCCACGTGATCAATAAATGGTGTTACAGTATCAGTCAAGGGCAAAAGAGCCATTCAAAGGGCAAGAGAGTCCACTGTTTCTTGTTTTTGTTTTTTAAAATTAATTAATTAATTAATTAATTTATGGCTGTGTTTTAGGTCTTTGTTGCTGCGTTGTGGGCTTTATCTAGTTGCAGTGAGTGGGGGCTACCCTTCGTTGCAGTGCGCGGGCTTCTCACTGCGGTGGCTTCTCTTGTTGCGGAGCACCGGCTCCAAGCGCGCGGGCTTCAGTAGTTATGGCACGTGGGCTCAGCAGTTGCGGTGCACGGGCTTAGCTGCTCCGTGGCATGTGGCATCTTCCTGGACCAGGGCTCGAACCCGTGTCCCCTGCATTGGCTGGCGGATTCTTAACCACTGCGCCACCAGGGAAGTCCCAGTCCACTGGGTTTTAATGTAATAAAGTGTATAGAGAGTTTATTAACATGGTTTCCGATTCCACATTGCAGATTCGTTCAAGAAACTTCTCGTTTGTTAAGTTTTGGTGTAGTAGCAAAGAAAATGTCCACAACTATCTGAAAAGCCTATTAAAATGCTCCTCCTTTTCCCAATCAGTGTCTTCCTACATTGTTTCAACCAAACCGTGTGGCAAGAGACTGAATGCAGAGGCACACAGGAGAATCCAGCTCTCTCCTATTAAGCCAGACATTAAAAAGACTTGCAAAGAGAGAAAATGATGCCACCCTCTCACTAAACTTGTCTTTGTTTTAGGAAATATGGCTATTTTCATAAAAGTGTGATATTTCTGTTAACATGTAAAAAGGTTTATTATTGTTAATGAATTAATAAACACACATTTTTTCTGGTTTAATTTCTAGCGCGGTCAGTATCGGTAGCTAAATCCGCATAAACAAAAGCTCTCTGGGTCCTACATAGTTTTTCGGAGCGTGAAGGGGTCCTGAGACCAAAGCTGCTGAGTGCCCTTCCCCACAACAGCCGGCACCCCAGTGGGCGCCTGGGGGCGGAGCCTGGCGCTCCTGCTTCCACCCGCCTCTCTCTGCCTCAGAGCCCGCCCCACCCCCCCTGCCTTCCTTTCCTGCCCTAACCGACCGCCCCCTCCTGTTTGGGGTTCTTGCTCAGGCCCCCCTCACTGCCTGGTCAGAGAGGACGTACTCCTGGGCTGTCTTTAAGCTCCTACCTGAACAGGCAGCTCCCAGGTGATTGTTTCCTGGTTCCCGGTACCCCCGAATGCCCAGTGTGGAGCCCTGCAAACAGCAGGCACTCAGCACAGCCACCGGAATGGCCCATTTCCTGGGGAGCTCCCCTAGTTCCCACACTGCACGCAGAGGTCAGCAGTGCACAGCCGGTCCAAGGGGAGAGGATATGCTGCCTGAAGGGTACTCAGGGGACCATGGGAACCAAACTGTGATCCATAAACATTCCGAGTCCAGGTGACTGGAATCACTTAAATGAGTAACAGTCACTATAATGTTTGGGTATCTGTACATGCAGATATCCAGCCCTTTTCAATGAAAAGCTCCGTGCTTGACTTCAGCCCTCACTCAATTCTACACCTCTGCTCACCCTCCACTTTGCCAGGATCATCTTAAATGAGTGCATTTTGTAGCCACAGCTTGTATACTTGGAACCTTCTGGCTTTCTCATGTTCTTGGTGCCGCAGAGAACTGAGAAGCCCACATTTACCCCCAAGAGCCACCTGATGATGACTTAGCTGTCACCAAAACACTAAAACAAACCTATTACCATAAGAAGGAAGAGCAGAGTAAAATCTTTTTCTTTTTTCATAAAATTTCTGTCTAAAATTCTTCTAAAAAGCAAGGAAATCTCAACTTTCTGGAAATTGTCCATTCTCCCAGGGTTCCAGACAGCTAAGGTGTTACTGTACTATTTTCGTTTATAGTTTATAAAAAAAAAGTTTGTGAGCATAATCTCATGAACTCTTTTATTATTTTTGTTTGTTTGTTTTTTTTTGTGGTACGCGGGCCTCTCAGCGCTGCGGCCCCTCCCGTTGCGGAGCACAGGCTCTGGACGCGCAGGCTCAGCGGCCGTGGCTCACGGGCCCAGCCGCTCTGCAGCATGCAGGATCCTCCCGGACCGGGGCACGAACCCGTGCCCCCTGCATCGGCAGGCGGACTCCCAACCACTGCGCCACCAGGGAAGCCCTCTTTTATTTTTTAAAACCTCATTTGGTTACATTTACAACTGCACTGTTTAAAAAAAAGTATACTATACCAATCAAATTGAATATAGTTGTAAAAATATTGCATCCATAGCCCCTATCAAATATTTCCATATGGCTTTTGAATGCAAGTTAATTTAGCTTCTTATTGGTCACCATATTTTACAAATCTTTACTTTCTGCTGCGTTAACAGGACTGTACCACTGGGAATAAAAATGAGTGGAGGTGGCAGAAGAATATGCCTTTTTACTTTTATGTATTCTGATTCTTTAACAGTATGAGTTATTTTTGTAATTAAAAAATAAGCTCTTTAAAAACTATTAAGTTAGCACTGCTAATCTTGAAAGAAGAATAAAGGTATGACAGAATACAACCTGTATCTGACTTTACTGTTCTGATTATCATGTAATGTGAACCAAATGATAAAAACTAACTGGGACTGACACTGTTGGTATATTACAGTGTTTGGTATTCAAGAGTGCCTGACTCTTAGGTAATAAACCATGACCCTGGATTTGACCCAATTCTTACAATTACTCCTATGAAGCAGAATTTAAAAAAAAAGAATGGATTTTGAATTCTGCCCATGAGTGACACTGGCTTACTTTAATTTTAAACTGTATACGGACTAATAGCACCAACATTCCTGTTTCAGGACATATTAATGAGCAGTCTTAAGCCCGAAAGAGAATACCAACTAAATAGCACAATATGAGACAAAATTCTGTAGCCTGTGGGCACTGTCAGGACCCCCGTGACAGGGCTCTGTAACTAGAAAGGGGTGTGAAGAGGACAGCTGCCCAGGACAAGTCCCAGGACACCACCCAGAGGCCCAACACCATACTGAGTCCTCTGATCTAAGAGAAAGAGGAACACGGAAGAGGCAATCACAGTTTTGGCTGGAGAACACTGTTAACGTTGATTAATATACCCTTTTATTATTATTTTTCACGTTAAGTGCTGTAACATTCTTCTGCACAAATAATATCACAAGTACCTTATGTTTGTATAAATCTTTTCGCCCCCTCCCCCCTTCCCCAAACTATTTTCACTGATTTGTTAATGTGAACTTGGGATACTTCCCAATTATTTCAAGGTAAATCCTTGGTGATACCAGGAGCAAACCACATGGACATACTCATGCAAAACCTGCAGGGGGCGAGGAGCAGAGAAAAGACTCCAACCCACGGCACCTGAAGGTGAGAACGGATCATTCTTCTAGAAACATACTTACTAAAGGGAAGCCTGTAATTAATAAATGATGCAAAGGGATGTTTAACGAAGTTACCTAGAGTGGGGGGAAGCCCCCATTTCTGGCTTTGTGAGTGTTCCTGGTCCCACGGTGGAGGAGGGCAGCGTTCTCACATCAGTGGCACGCCAGAGCAAGCTATAAGGAGTGGACACCTCCACTGACCCCTGACCTCCCAAAGTGGAGGTGAGCCCTGGGGGCTACCCAAGGTGATGACAGTAGAACTTCTACTTATATTTTCTTCTGCAAAGAATAACAAAGTAAGATGTACTGATGTTTAATATAGGAATTGAGCACTGGAGGTGTGTGCTTG